CCTCCAAACCTCTAATATTTACTGATAGAAAAATCATTTTAATATAGTACCACCATTCCCCTCAATAACAGTGTTACTAACCTTTGATAAATTGAACAACTCCTTGTCACGATCTTCCATGGCTTATAATCTCTGAATCACCTCTGTTTTGTTGCCATAGTCTCCAACTCCAATTTCCCTTGCAAATGCCCAAATCTTCTCTGCAATATAAAGCTCTGCACCTCTGTGTAGACTCTCATTCTTGTTTTCAATACCACTATCAGTGACTGATTCACTTGCGACTCGATTATGGGATCCAAGAGAAAATTTCGACATTATCTCCTTCATTCCTCGCTCATTTGATACTTTCCTACTCTCATTCGGCTTGGGCACCTATTCCTCTTTTCCTTATTCCATATATACCGAACAGCAAGATCTACTTTTCTTCCTTTTGCTTCACTTTGGTTTCCTCTGCTTTCTGCCCATCCATTCATGCTCATGCCCCGTTTCGTTCTCGAACCCCTTCCAAAATGAGATCTCCTGCTTGGTGTTGCGTAGGTTGGTTGACACTGTTCTAACATTTTCTTTTTCTCCAGCTTTCTCATTTAAAGTCCCTGTATTTGCATTTTCATTAAATAATGAATTAGGCCCAATATTCTCCACATGCCCGTTCGCTTCCTTTCTGCTTAATCTGTTGTCTCCAATTTCAGGTGTGGCTTGTTTAGTAGGCCTATTATTATTATTGGCCCAAGTCTCATCTAACTCCACTGGGTTTAGCATTTCTAAAGGCCCATTGGATTCCCTCATCTTGCTTCCAACGATAATGTGATCGTTCCTCCCTGGTTTCGACTTCCTTCCTCACCTCTTCCTCTGCCTCCACGTCATCGCCATCCTTCTTCTCGGCGGTTGTGTTCCAACTGTTTTTTGAACTGCCACCGCCTAGAAACGCATCACTTAATTCATCTTCCAATCCGTTGGCTAACGACCAAGTTTCTAAGCTAACATCGTCCGATCCACTCAATACCTTGAATACATGGTTGGATTCATGGAAAAAATTCTGTTAGTGGTCTCTTCCTCCATTACTTTAATTGTGTATGGTTCATCATTGACCTTGATGCTTATGCTTTTGGATATGAAATCCATCACTGAGGTAGAACTCAACATTCTTCCTACGTCAAACGTCTATTTATTGCTAGTGTTGTCATCCAGTGTTATGTACTTTCCCCACATTGTGCCAATTGTAGCAAAAAAATTAGGACCCCAAGCATGAACTGGAACCCTTTGGCACCGAAGCCAAACAAATCTCTCCCTTGCAACCATTGCTGTATTCCATGGTTTGATATCTGTGAACCACTGTCCCAACCATTTTGGAGCCATCTCTATGAGATCTTTGACTTCCTCCTTATCTCTTCCTTCCAGTAAGACCAAGCACCCTCCCATTGCTCTTGCTTTGCATGAGAAGTTTTTTCTTGTAAAGTCAGGATTATCTCAATTGAATGGGCCATCCCGACATAGCATCCTTGCAACCATGAATACTCTTCCTCTTCTATACTAGCTCTAGCCTGTTTCTTGTCCTTTGCTCTCCAAACTTGCATCGAAATTCTATTAGGATTACTGTTCTATACCTACCAGTGTTCCTTCTCTCTCTTTACTTGCTTCCCATTCTTAGTTGCTGCCCCAGATTCAAGTTTTCCTTTCACCACTTCAACATAAGTTCTCTGCACTCTTACTCCTTCTTTCTCCCTGTGCCCTTGATTTGATCTTTTGATACTTTCTTTCCCTTTGAATCTTGGTCTATTGACCCATAGTTTAAACTCCCCAACCCAAATTTGTTCCAGTTGATGCTCTAATTCGCACTCATTTCTTATGTCCAGAAATCTGACAAACCCAAATCTGCTCCCCATTCTTGATTTCTTGAAAGGGCTGTAGATGTCCAAAACTCTTCCATATTTACGGAAAGTTTGCCACATGCTTTCATGTTTCCAGTCTTCAGGGAAGTTGGTGAAGAAGAACATAGTTGCCTGGTTGTATACTCGTCGATCATAACCCCAAATGTCTGGTTTCCTAGAACTGATCTCTCGTGCATTAATTCCCTCATACACAAGTCGGTTCTCTCGTGCATTAATTCCCTCATACACAAGTCGGTTCTTTCCTCTATTTCTGAATCTCTCCCAGTGCTGTGCCGTCCCTCTGCCGCATGATCCACTGCCGTCAAAGCACTCTTGCTCTAACCCTCTCATCTCTAGCAAATGTAGAGTTTTGACCACTTATGAAATTGATACACATTTAACGTGAAAATTAATTTTGTCCTCCAAACAATGGTAAAAGCTTTTCGTACAATATTCAAGACACTAATTGCATTTAAACCACTTAAAAAAGCGACGCTCATCTTGCCCAATTGCTCTAAACATGATTTGAAAATCTCTTCCAAAGCAGTAAAGTGCATGATTATATGAGCTTCATATTCCAAGGGCAGTGTCAAGACAATAGTGCGAGCACATGTAAGATGGAGATGCAAGTTAAGATTACAACTATAGCAAAGGTCATATTTACGAAATCGGATTCCACAAGCAAAACAGCTTAAATGATTGCTATCATCTACTATTGTGATATTAAAGGATTGTAAGGGAAGTTGTAATTGTAGTTGTGGAGGAAATAGTCTCAATCAAGGTTCATGAAGAAAAAGGTCGCATTCCAACCAACAACAGGTTAGACCTGAGACGGGATGAAGATATATGCTACAATAGAATCTTTGTTTATTTTTATAGTTTCCAAAATATAGCACATGTCTATGGAAAAAATGGAATGGGAACTCCAATTTCTTAAAGCTTTCGCTTAGAGGTTCAGCCATGAAGACACATTTGAAGTCCATTACGAACTCACACTCTTGGCATTGGTAATTGAAGCAATCACTTTCTTTAATTTCTCCACATGCATCACATATGTACCTCTTTCCTTGCGAATGTTCAAAGTTGAGAGTAAGACGATGAAAAGGATGAAGAGGGACTGAAGTAACTGATCAGAGGATATGGACAGTTTGGCACACACTTCATGGAAGCAATATTCTTTACAATCCACACAGATAAAGGCTTGACCAAAAACCTTTAGTTCGCAACCTCTTCAGATACGATATAAAGGCTTCACATGGACTATATCATCAATTCTTAGGAGATGGGGATGATTGCGATGCTTCATCTGCATGCGCAGTGCGAATCGAAGGTGAAGCGAAGAAAGTAAAGTAGAATTAATTGACAAACTTATTTTCAATTTAAAGGGAAGGAAGCTATGTGTGTACCAAAGATGACAATAATATATGGAATATGTTATAGTAAATAGAAAGAACAATCCATGTTTTCTCCACTTTTTAATTATTACTTTTTAAATTTAGATAGTTAGTCACAAAATAATAATAATAATAATAATAATAATAAGTAATAAAAATCTTGAGAGGAAGTAACATCGACCGTACCTGATGCTCCTGGTCATTATTTTTTTTCCGTTGACACAGCTTTCGGTTTTACTTTCGAAGATTGGATAATTGAGGCAGCTTCGTATAGCTGTTCATCTCTTATCTAATGAAAAACAAAATAAGAAGAAATTACTTTTAACTCTTTCAATTTTTATGTACATCTAATATTAGTGACTTGTTTACTATCAATTAAAGCCTAACAATTCTTTAATTTTTTAAGGGGCGTGCAATGTGCCATCAATTAGGGGATGCCTTGGTTTCTTTTCAACTTGGGAATTTAAGTACATTTTAAATTACTCAAATAATTATATTGTATCCAAAAAGTGGACGGATTGTGCTATAACATTCTCATGTTGTATTATACTCACTAATATGTGTAATTTTTGAAATGAAAATTGGAATGCTTTTATATGCTAAAATGAAAATATTGATTATCAAGAGAGAAAAAATAAAGAGAGAGAGAGAGAGAGAGAGAAAATGAACATATTAATGAGAAGTTGGCATTTAACATTTCATTTTTTAAAAATTCTAAAATTATTAAAATAAACTTTTGAAATATAGTATAAAAAGAGTCTTTCTAATATATATCCTTAAATATGTATTTATTATACATATTTATTATTAATATACATGAAAAAAATAAAAATTAACATTAATTTTACTAATTGTTCAATTAAAAATGTCTAAATGACATGAGAGTTAAAATCAATCTCAACTTTTTTTTAATGTAAATTAATATATAAAAAATTTATTTAATCCATTCCTAATTTGTTCTCTAAAGATAGAAATTAGATAAATCTTTACAAAAATTATTAACATTTAAAATGAAAAAACGATCATATCTGATTCAAGGCGCACTCAATATGAGCATAAAAAAAATTGCAGTCTTGGCAACGGTAGACACAATGATTTGGATATCTTTTTGTTTCATAAATATTACAGTAATATTCGTAGTAAAAATGATCCTTGATTGAAAAGAGGATTCCTGCAGCTGTGATAATTATATTCCACAGTAGATGCTAGGATACAACTTAAATGAAAATTGAGATTGCAGTCCGCGCAGCGATAGAAACCACTGTGATTATCGCTAGTTGAAGCAAACTTTCGATATCTACAGCACTTGAAATCCTCTTTATAATTTTCTTTTTCAAAATCAGTCAGATTGTGTTGACCATGATATTCAGACTTGAGACTTGGTAGGAGAATAGTGCTGCGGCGGTGAAGATGCCGAAGGTTAATCCTATTCCATGAGAAACGGGAATTTCTAATCTGACCTCTACAAGCAAAACAAAACCCACCGCCGTGCCCTAAAGAATACTTCTCACAAAAATAAGGAAGTTGGATTGTATAGGGCACCTCAACAATACAAACTTTATGAAGAAAGAACTGACACGGAAGACAAGCGTATAACTTCCAAGACGATTAAATAGGCTTCTCACACCATTCACAATCATTATATTAACTAACCGCATCCTTTCATGGACTCGATCGTAAAGAATCAGATCATGGTCAATATGAAAACTATGCTTAAATGTGGATGCCTTTTTAGAAGATCTGTTTCCCTCTTTTTGTGAAGGGTGACTCATGGTTGAAGCAGCGCAGGATAGATGAAGTTTGAAGTCACATTGATGGCAGCGGTAGCTTAAGCACCCATAAAAAGCCAACAAACATTCCTTACATATGAATGCATTTCTAGAATCGTCCACAAACATGATGAGCTTATGCTGGGGATCGCGAGTGGGTGACGACTATCAGTACTAGAGGTTGCTGGCCACACCATTTGTGCAGCCCAAACTTGCATATTTCACAACAAAAGGTAGGACCATCAAAATGTTCGTCGCATCCTTGGCACTGAAACATTCCTGGACAAGGCGCCTCATGATAGGACAAGGTATGGCGATGAGAGGGATGCCGGATCGAATCCATCTGAGGGCGAGGGCAAGGGCAAGGGCATGGGCAAGGGCGACAGCGAGGACGGAATGCGGTTTAAAATTTTCAGGATTAATGATATATAAAATGTTTAGAGTTTAGATTTTTGTTCTGTGGACTCAGCGTAATTTAGTTTTGTGCACTAGTCTATTTGGCTGTCCTCAAACCATACATTCCTCTACTTTCGACTCTGTTACTCATCATTTTCTAGCCCCACCCCAGCCTCGAATCCCACTCCTCCCCTCTCCTTCCCTTTTCAGAATCACCTAACTTCAAAGGAAAAGATAAAACTAAAAGCATATTCTCTCACACTTTAATTATACAGTAGGGATTAATTTAAGAAATTAGTGTTTATTATCCATATCTATAAAAAAAAAAAAATTAGAGATTAAATTAATTTTATTTTTATTTTAAAAATTAAAATATTTTAATAATTTTTATGAGAATTAATTTAAATAACATAATTTGTTCTCTAAAGATAGAGATTGGACAAATCCTTACAAAAATTATTAGCATTTAAAATGAAAGGTGACCATATTT